AAGAAATATAGATTACTCCTGGCCTTCTTTTTAACAGACAATTTTGTTGTTATTATCCCTCCTTCTTAAATATTTGAAAAATCCTTTTACCCCTTCATTTAGTCCTCATCTTTCTTAGTCTTCAAATCCTTCTTTCAACAAAAGTCCATATAAAGCTTCCATTTTTTTTTAATTTTTTGTTTTTTTTTCTGACCAGGTCAGTTTTGCCATTTCAGCAAATTTGGACATTTTTGTAATCCATTCTTCTACTATAGGAATGTCATCATTCTTCCATTGGGATGCATATAATAATCTTTCTGCAGTTACAATTTATAATATCAAGTTACCATAAATCTTTTCTAATTCATTAACCATAGGTTTCAATAAAAAAGTTCTGATTGCTTAGCAATATTCATCCTTCAAGTCCTTTTCATCATTATGTGAATTTAAATCCAAAATTTCTTAGCTTTCTCACTAGTTCGCCATCTATATATAAAAAAAGTCCCCTTGTGCTTTTCACATTTTCATGCCTGGTTTGAAATACTTTTATACTTTTGTTAATATAATTTCCCCAGTGTCACATGCCAATGGCATATCATTCTATAGAAAATTTACTCTTAAATGACACAAAATTACCCATATTCTTTCCAAATATTCCTTTCTATGTTATATCCAAAATTAGCAGCTCATTTTGTCATGCAGTCTTTAACCTCTTCTTCTGTTTCAAATCTTAAATGTATATATTTTTGCTATTGCATGCTCATCATTTGCACATAATTCCATTTCAACCTTTGTATTGTATTTTTTCAGTTCCATCTGTCCTTTTATCCATATTGAACCTTTCCTTCTTTTAAATGTGCAGATGAAAACCATTTAAAGCTATGTTCTTCTCCAATTGTTCTTTTGACTTCATCTTAATTTCTGATTCATATTGCATTTATAAAACTTCATAGAGTTTCTCTCTGCTGTCTGTCTTCTATAAAATGCTTGCCTGTGCTGAGGTCAATAAAAGCATCATGAGGCACAGCCTCTATTTGTACTTATTTCGTATTCTCAATATGGCACTCCTTCACATAGTGATTTTCAAAATCCACATTAACTTATAGTCGTGCTATAAAACCATATGCCAGTTCATTGCCCTTCTTTCTGATGTTGCCTTGCCTAGACTTGGTGACCTTCTACAGAAGAGCTTTGGTGCACAAATGAAATCCAGACATTTTGTTTTCATCCTATAAGCTTCAGGTTAGTGGGGGGAGGGGAGATGCAGTAGAGGTTACAATTTTCATTGGAAAATGATAGAATTTGGTAGCGCCTGATTTACAGGAAGGCTTGGCTAGATCAGAGTCAGAGGTGGTATTCAGCCGGTTCTCTCCAGTTCAGGCAAACCGGTAGCAGCAGCTGCAGGAGGCTCTGCCCATCCACCCCAATGTAATGTGTGGCCTTCTGCGCATGCGCAGAAGTCGGTGCACATGCTCAAATGTGGCATGTGCGTTCACATTTGCGAACCAGTAGGGAAGGTAAGTGAATCCCGCCGCTAATCAGAGTCCATGGGTGTTAAACTCACGTCATCACATTGCTGCCACATAACATTTCCTGATGATTTTTCCCTTCACGGAGCTGGGGTAGGTGTGGCCTACATGTAACGCATCTGGCCCGCAGGCTGTCAGTTTGACACCCCTGGATCAGATCCTTCCTCTGCTTTGGGAGTGTCTTTATGTAGTTCAGGACTCTGTGATGTCCAACAGAAGGGCATATCTGTAGTTCAGAGTTGAACTGTGGAGTCCTTGGTGCTCACTGAGAGAGGCTGTTTGCTTGCAAGCTTGTCAACAATCAAGCTCTGAGAACACCAAGGACTCCACTCTGCAATATGCCTATTATAAAGCAAAAAGGGGAGGAAAATCTCTTTTGTTTCATTCACATTCATATTCAAAGCTTAATTGTCTGTGGAACAGAGCAAAAGGCTGGAAGAGGAAGAAAGGGAAGGCATACTTTTTTTCCTGAAGTAATTAATATTTTTAAAACATCTGTCAGCATTTGATAGCTATATTTTAAATTCTGCTCTTTAGTTTTAAACATATTTTAATTGGATAAAAACATGCACTTTTAGTGTGGATTCAACCTTTTGTTTTCTGCAGGTGTTTTAAAGCGTATTTGTATGTCAGTGTCTTTTTAAAAGGGTTGGGGAAAATATATAAATGACCCACAGAAGTTGAGTGGGAAAATGTTGGGAGGAGACCATGAAAAAAGACCAGTTGCATTAAGCTCAGCTGAATTTTCCCGGAGCCATCTGCCTAGCCAATACTGGATGTAGTTCTCAGTGGAGCCTTGGATGAACATAGGAAGAATTACACGTGTGACAAATTTGAAATATAGAAATATCTCAAGATGATAGACGGACAGATTGATCTAGGTCTCCAAAACTAGAAAATCTTTGTAATTTGTGGGTTCTATATTTGCAATTACACGCAATATTTGCAAATACATGCTAAAATTTCTTTGTAACCCAAAAATCAATATTTGCAATGCCATTTTAGTTATTCATGGTCATGCCTAGTGGTAGGATTCAGCCAGTTTGCACCACTTCGGGAGAACCGGTTGTTAAGTTTCTGAGCAGTTTGGTGAACTGGCTGTTGGAAGAAATCATTAGGGTAGAGAACTGGTTGTTAAATTATTTGAATCCCACCACTGGTCATGTCTGTCTTCTCTTAGTGATTTTACTGGTTAAAATGGCCATCAAAAGTAAGGTCTTTTTTAGGACTTTTTAATAATATATTATTATAAAAAATGTATACATTAAATTATATGTCATTAAACATATTTTTAAAAGGTTATGTATTGAATAGTTGATAAAAATATTGTGACTAGAGCCCTATAAGAATCTAACCCTGCATAACCCTAGGAGTAATGGCTCAGTACTATCTTAGGTATAGTTGGTTGATTGGTTGGTTGGTTGGCTGGTTGGTTGGTTGGTTGGATGGATGGATAGATGTCATGTTCTGATCCCACCCCCACCGATTTTAGTGGGGTGGGAGTCCCGATATATCATGTGACAACACCATGATAATGCAAGTTTGACACCCTTGCTCTAAATGATAAAGTGATAGCCTATTACTTTGTGACTGTATTAGAATTATTCTCATGAATTGTGAAATCATTATGGAACATCATTAAATTGATGTTCACCTGTTAGAATTATTCTCATGAATTGTGAAATCATTATGGAACATCATTAAATTGATGTTCACCTGTTCCACAGGGAATCCTTTTCCAAAGCATTCGCTTATGTCTCCTCATCTGTTTTCCATCTATTATCAAATAGTAATTGCTTCTTCTTCATATGGGCTACAACCTCCACATAATATTACCATATCCCATATCAGCAGATACAATCAGCTCCATAGGCCAATATAGTGAATTATCACAAGACAACATATTTCTAGCTACAGACTGAGGGCATAATAAGAGTAAGCTATTACTGAAGTCGTCATTCAAATTGGAGCCATTGGAGACAGCAGATCCATCAGGTCCAGGAAAAGGAGCAGTGCTGAGCCAGGAACAGCTGGATGTCCTCCTCAGTGGTTGCAAAGAAGCCTGTAGCTACCCTCCTAAAATTGTATTCATGTGAAAACCATTACTTCCATATTTGTGTCAACATTTTGTCTAAAAAAGTGTCCCTGAAACTTTGCACTCTGTCTCCAAATCATTTGTTGATTTCCTTCTAGGCCTTTTCTTCATTAGTAAAGCTTAATAATTCCAAACTTAATAAAGTGGTAAGCAATTTAGAATAAATCCATTTTAAAATCTATTTAAGAGAGTTGCTGTTTACCAGTTCCCAGATGTACATATAATTAATGTAGGTCTGTGCATGATTCATCATATGGATCTGCATGCATGAACACACTAATGAACAAGGAGAGACATGTCAGACAACTTGTCCAAACAACAAATCTGAGTCCAGATTGGAACTCTGATTAGATTATAACCTTTCACTGGAACTAGGAAGACTGTGGTTAAAAGGGGATTCAGTTTTAGCTACATAGAACTTCCATGGCAACTGCCTGCCTGTTATCTCTTAGGCCTGGGATGGTGAGCCTGTGGCATGCCGAGCAATTTGTCAGGGCATGTGAGGTGTTGCCCTGTCAGCTGGCCAGTGCACATGCGTGTGCTGGCCAGCTGAGTTCAGCCTTTTTTAAAGCCATTTTTCGCCCTCCCCAGGCTCCAGAGGCTTTATAGGAGCCTGAGGAGGGCGAAAAGAGCCCCCCCCCCCCGAGGCCCTCCAGAGGCTTCAGGAGCTTCCCTGAAGCCTCCAGAGTGCAAAAGAAATAGCCCTATGGGGAAACAGGAAGTTCGGGAACGTATTTCTGGTTTGCTTGGAGGGTTGGTTTAAGCCCTCTGGAGGTTTCAGGGACCTTCAGGAGGCTTCCCTGAAGCCTCCAGAGGATTAAAAAGGACCCTATGAGCAAATCAGAAGTCCCGGTTTGCTCGTAAAGTCCTTTTTAGTCCTCCGGAGGCTTCAGGGAAGCCTCCTGAAGGTCCCTGAAACCTCCAGAGGGCTTAAACCAACCCTCCGAGCAAACCGGAAGTGACTCCTGGTTTGCTCATATGGTCATTTTTTTGCCTTTTGGAGGCTTCAGGGAAACCTCCTGAAGATCCCTGAAGTTTCTGGAGGGCCTCCGGGGGGAGGGGGAGGTTGTTTTCGCCTTCCCCAGGCTCCTATAAATCTCTGGAGCCTGGGAAGGGCGAAAAAAGCATGGAAAATGGGGGGGGGCTGTCATGTGTGCATGTGCACTGGGGTGGGTGTGTTGCATTATGGGTGCAGCACACCCATGCATGCCCTCCCCTGAGCTCCCCCTTATGGCACGCAAGCCAAAAAAGGTTTGCCATTGCTGTCTTAGGCCAATCTACTTATTAGATTATTTAAAGATTACTCCATGTATTGCTGTTTAGACAGAAGGCTGGTTATAAAATCAATAAATCTGGCATGGCTGGTAAGGCAGGTAAGGCTACAGCATCTTGTAAAGGTCTACAACAACTGATGTCTGTCCTGACTCTTCTTGAACAGCTGCATTTAACCATCCTTTCTATTTCTCTTCATGCATCTACATTCATGTCAAATTATAGCAGTAGGAAAAATCAAAAGGTTGGGAAAGATCCAGCATGGTTAGATTGGTGGTGTCACATCAAAGTAAATCCAGCAGAGTCTATCTTCAGACCAAAAAATGCCACCCAAAGTCACTTGCCTTTGAGCCTACTCAAACTAGAATGATATTTAACATAATAATATGCATAGAGCAATTTTTTAGCTATCACGACCTTCTCATCATGTTAGGTGGAACTCATATAAATTGTAATCTACAAATCTAGACTAGAGTACCAGATGGCTTGTCCTTGCGATATCATAGGAGATTGGTCAAACAGTTGTGCAAATTGTATTAAAGATATTATGATACCTATATTATGAGTATTGTTCTAGGAGTATGAATAGTAGCATGGTAGATCAATGCTAATTTAATCTCGAATGCTACATGGCTCATGATGATATCTCTTCAGCGCCATCCAACCATGACTCATTCAGTCTTCTCTTTCCTCTCAACCCATTTCCTTTTCATTCAAATGGCTTTGCAATTCAGTTCTCATTAATTCTGTCTATATATAACGAAACCACTTCAACTTATTTCTTTTACGCTGGACCCAAACTTTTGCATTCAGACCATAATCATCCAGTATCCATTTTCAGCTGCAGTCTTTGTAAATGCTCCATTCCAGTTCATTCAATCTCATTTCCAGGTAACAAAAATGGGCAAACCCACTTCCTTATAGACAGGCATTTTAACTTCTTTCAACAAATATTTATTCACTGTAATATAATACTGTACTGAACCACATTCTCCGCTCTATTTTTCTATCAGCATTTGCATGCCTTAACATTTCTTGCTCCATTTCCCCCTCTTTAGTAAACATAGTACACAGATCCACCTATTTGCTTTAGGTTTTTTTTTTCTTTTGCCATTTAGCTATAACTTGCAAAAAATATTTCATTTTCACTATCAAAACCAATTCCCTATTTCCTATATGCCTTAACTAAGCCCCACATGATTTTGTGCAGACTTCAGTATGCACATGTGTCACCTCCCCATGTGTGCACCTAATTTCTTTTATCAGACATCCTCTCAAATGGTCTAATTTGGTAACTAGGACACGTTTCTTGTATGAATACAGTTAGTGGAGAGCAAGAGGTCAGAATCCTACTATCTCACCTAAGATGATTCTAAGCAGAAGAAACCTTCAATTACCTAGATAATCATTCCTTGCTTCCTGGAACAAAGCCATGCCAAGGTTTCTTTTCACCTGGCTGATAGTCCATTGTGGAACATCTATCACCATGTTTTAGAAATTTGTGGGGGAACTGTTTGCTTGTGCTTTGATATTTCACTTTTTTTTTCCTCATTAGGTGCCTGGAGATTGTTGAACAGTGTCCAATAGCAAATTTCACCCTGTCATTTCTTCCCTTTCCACAGGAACATATTTACAAGCTGATGAAGAGTGACAGCTATGCACGTTTCCTCCGTTCCAATGCTTACCAAGACTTGTTGCTGGCAAAGAAGAAGGTATCTATCGGGAAGGACATGCTTGCTTCTTCAAGTCCTTCTTGACTCCTGCCTGCTGCCGCTTGCTGCTGTGTGGACATGAATGTTCTGTTCTTTGTGAGGGGCAAGGCTTGTTCCCTTTCCTCCTTCTGGGGATTGAGAACATGTCTTTCCCTCTTCCCAAAGCTCCATGTTTGGCATCTGAATAAACCACTTCACTGTTCAATGGCCATCCTCTGATAGGGAGAGGAAACTGAAGCAAAAAAGCTCTAAGCTGGGTGGCATGATTTGTTGAGAAGCCTTGTGAAAGTCTGCTCTTCTTAGCAGATGTCCGTAAATTTTCTCAACCTTGCTGTCCAGCATCTTTTAACTTAAGGGATCCAGGATTGACATGGCTGCCCTCTGTCACTGACCTATGGCTCTTCCACCATCTTTTAACATGAAGTAGAAAAATGCCATTCAAGGTATTTGCAGGGCACAAATACCATCCAGTTTAATAACATTTAATCTTGTCATACAGCGTAGCAACTGTTGGGAAGAAGGGCAGCATCTCTTTCTGTTTAATCTCACGGTTGTTCTTGTGATGCCTCACCTGAAGCCTTCCTCTTGATTTTCTATCAGCTTTTGATTTTCTGTGAATGCCATTCCCTTCTACCACCACTCTCTGTATATGGACCTTTGTTATTATTTTTGATTTTAAACAAAGACTAAATGCTACTCTGACTATTCCTCTATCCAGCCACATCTTATTATTTTATTTTCATGTTAGCATGCTGTGCTGTGCTCATTATTGTTTTCTCTTCTTACTATATAAAAGAACAAAGGGCTTCTTGTATGGACTAGAATCCTAAATCAGGCATTTAGGAGTAAAGGGCAAGAGAGCTGATAATACTTTGGTTTTCATCTGTGGCTAGTTTTAAATAATATATACCCCCACCTGAAATGATTTCCCACTTCCCACATTCAATTTTATATATAGGCCTTTGTTCAGAGATTGAGTCCTCTGCTTTTTCCATTTGGCTCTGCTTTCCTCTGCTAGTTGCTGCTTTCCCATGATCCCATAATTCAATCAACCTAATCAAATCTCTGTTGCAATTCCAATGGGATCAGAATTCTTAGAACCTCTTTCTAACAAGCTACTGGTTCCTTGTATGCACAGGAACTCTGAAGCACGAATGGTGATCATGAGTAAAGCTTTGATGCTGACTAGATAAGGCCACTCTCTCCTGGAGATGTGTGCATAGAGCTCTTTTTGGCAGTGAAATAGAGATGTACGCATGAGGCTATTTTTGGTAGAAGTTTTTGCAAGATATCTGCATATTTCTATGGACTCATAAATAGAGAACTGCTAGGTTGGATAGAATGTGTGGAATACTTCAGTGACACCCACTGAACCCTTCAGCACTTCCTTTGCACCAAGAGTTTGCAAGTATTTCTCACAGTTATATTTTACATGCCAATTGCTCTTGTGAGAGCCATATAGAGGCTCTGAAACTGAAGAGACATCTAAGAAACGGACTTAAGGTGGCTTTCAAAAGCAGATGTGTTATTAAGTCTAGAATGGAATGGGAAAACAGACTCCAATGCCATTAGGCCATTTTTACTTAATCTAGTTTGGTGGTTCCTCTTTATATTGATGTTAAACTCTTGTGTGGGCCTGCGTAGCTGGTGGGCAGAACTCAGTGTTGTGGCTATGGTTGAGATAGGATTGCTTCAGTGGGTATCTTGAATGCTAAGTGATTGATCATAAGTCCTGTTGAATTTCTTTGTTATCATCCCATGGCAAAAAAAACCAAACCAGTTTTCATTCAATGAATTGAACATAGTAATTGGGTTGGATGTCAAAGTGTAGCACAAAATCCTGACTCTACACAATAAATATCTATAGATAAGTATTTATAACACCACTTTTTATAGAGCAGCATAGTCTGAATTGAAAAAAGTCTTCATGAGTAGAGCAATTTATCAGTGGAGCACTTCTCCAGAGAAGACATGGCTCCCCTCTGGTGCAGATGTTCAAGCTAAGGTTGGAGGGCCATCTGTTAAGATGCCTTAACCTCCTGCATGGAGGGGATTAGACTTTAGATGGTCTAAATGGGCTCTTTCAACACTATGATTTTTTGATTCTTAAAAAGGAGAAGGAGAAGGGATTGGAGAATGCTGCATTACATGGATTTAGATTTCCTGATGCTGCCTTTTCCTTTTATTTCCCAAATGGAGAAAGATGTACGGAGCGTTACTACAGCAAAAGAAGTTGTATTTAGCCTCTTTAAAATGTTCAAAAGACTCAGGTCAAAGAAGAAAACGAAACCAGTTCAGAAGACGTTCTGAGCTGGTGCCAGAAACCCAACCCCTGAATTCTGACTGGCAGGAAAAATGTTGACTTAGTTAAAATTGATGCCTCCCCATTGTTCTGAAAGCTGAGTGGACAAAAAGGTGATCTGCAAGTATTTATCTTTCTTGACATAAGAGTCAAATAGGTCTCATCCAAGTTTGTCTCCTCTATCAGAATGTGGAATTGAAGAATCTAGCTGTGATGAAAGTGACTTCACATGTAACACGGCCCTGTGGATGTGATGGAAATTAAATCATTTGCATCATATATAAGATAACATCATTACACAAATAATGTAATGATGGCAGTGACACAGTGGTGGGATTCAGCCAGTTCGCACCTATTTGGGAGAACCAATTGTTAACTTTCTAAGCAGTTCAGAGAACTAGTTGTTGGAAGAAATTTCATTTTGTTTTTTTCCACTTTACAGGGCTAATCCTGTAAGGAAGGCAGGGAGGAAACATGTTGTTTCTAGCCTAATCTTTGTTGCCCTGCTTACAAAAACTGCCTCTCTGGTTAACCCTCATTACATTGTAACAACTAAGGCAAAGCTCCCATTGACCTGAGTGACATTGAGTTGGCCATGCCCACCCAGTCACATGACCACTGAGCCCCACCTACCCAGCTGGTCATTAGGGCAGAGAACTGGTTGTTAAATTATTTGAATCCCACCACTGCAGTGACATACCTGTATATGTGAGGGATGAACATTTATGAATAATAGTCAACTTCTCCAAGTTAGCTAATTAAAACAAAATTACACAGCATTTCAAACCATGTTATTTTAACATCATTTTTTCTTC